AATGGGAAACATTTCTCAGTAATAATAGAAAATGAAATAGAAAATGAAATTGCTGTTCTGAAGAGTTTATAATCTCAGGACTTAATTGTGTGATGGTAAATGCACATAAATAAATTACACACTTGTATTTAAAATCCCTTGAAATCATCAGACAAGAAATGAGTTTGTAGGTTATAAGTTTTGAGAAAATGTGGCAGACACATACACCTAAACAGTGACTTTACTGCTGGTGGCAACCATCCAATATGTTCAGGAAATTTGCAGGAACTAAAGCAGCTGTTGGCCTTGAAGCAGGAGCTTTTTCTGACTGTCATCATTTACCTTGAAAATGACTGTTTTGGAAACCTTTTCAGTGAAAACTGCACAAAAATATGTAAGCAAAAAATCAAGATGATCATGAAAGAAATATGTAGCAGTAATAACACACGCGATTTAAAACCCATAATAAATATCATTTTTACTGTCTAGGATAAAACACTCTACCCCTAGCAGTAGATGTAAACCAATTACTAAAGAAACTGAGATTAAAGATGTTTCTCAAAAATAAGAAAAAGTCTCATGTGATAAGCAGCTCTTACTTAATTAAAATTCTTCTTCTGAGTCTTCTGTAATGTAGGAAATGCAAACATTTTTTGTTGATATTGCCAGGGGACAATCAAGGACATAGTTTATTTCCCCCTTCATCCCCATTACAGAAATTGTACTGGTACCCCCGGGTAACATTTGTCTATCCTGATCTCTTCTGCCAATTGAAGGGGCTTCTGCAACCTGACTAAGAAGATTAAAAAAACCCTTATCTAATTCAAATGATGTGTTCTTATACTCAGAAAGGTCCAATTCCTGCCTGAAACATCAAAACCACCACGGAGAAATGGCCTCAAAGGGCAAACAGTTACACAAACAAGGATGCAAACTCCTTTAACAATTTTAGAAAATAATCAGAGGGAAAGCTATCAAAAGGGTGCCTTGCTGGAGATAAAGAAATAAATTCATAATAATAATAATAATAATAATGACCTCTTTTCCATATATTTCTAATTTGTGCCCCCAAAGTTAACTATATTCAAGATACTGTCTTTCTCTCAGGGCTTCAGGACAGCTCTGCCCACAGAAGGCAAAAAAACATACCTTAACCTTTACCTTTGAGAATGGCAAGATATAGGGCTAGGTGTCCAGGGGGGCTATTTCCTCTTCTTCCTAGACTGAATGCCTCCTTTACTTCCAGAGGATATGTAAGACTGCACAGGTTAGCAAATATTTCGGAATACCTGTCCCTTCCTCACTGTTTCCAGATTTTATACAAATGAGGCATGGCAGTTTCCCAATAACTAACACAACAGACCAGAGGCTTTATGTTCTATTTTCTACCTTTCAAAAAAGATGAACTGCTGCCTTCCTTTTATGACCCCCGTGAAAGGGATGATTAACTGAATCAAAACATGTTCCATCAGGTGAGTCTTGGCAGCTGTAACAACGAGGGTTATTTAGGAGCATCTGAAAGTAACCTCATGGAACAATAAAACTCAGTATTTTGTCAGGTGTGTTACTTTACTATAGACAGCATGAATGACTGACACATGAAGGGGTCAAAACACTTATTTTTATGCAGCTGCATATTTGTCTTCACCCTTTAGGTTTTTCTCTCTCAGACTGGTGACATTCCAGATCGAAATGACAATCCCTTATAGTCTCTGCTTTTCTGTCTTACATGTTTCGAAAATTACAGAAACACAATGAGTAATCCACATTTTTAAATAACCATTTTAAACAAAGTGCATATAACAGAAAAAAACATATAATGGCTTTATGCTTTACTCTGGTTATACTCTGTTGTATGCAACTATATTTATAGCAGTTTTCAAGAGTTTATAAAGCCAGAGTGCACTGTACAAAAGAAAAAAATTTGCATTCAAGGCATCAGTTTTCATCATTACTGAGTGCTGTTGAAAGCCCAAACAAATTTGTTTTACCAGTTCAGAAGCAGGGCATTCTGCTAAATATAACTTTGTGAGTTGATTTATCTACAAAAAAAAAAATAAAAATGGGGAGGAGATACTAGAATAAAATTTATTCTAGTTTTACATTCCTCCTGAAACATAGGATGCCTTTGAATGGAACACAAAGTGATTCAATTAAATAAATCAGATGAATGTCTTTTGAAATGTATCTCAAGGGGAAAGAGTATCAGTTCTTTATGGCATGCATTCATGTAAATCTGAATGTTAGGATGGTCAAGGGGCCTTTTATTATCATTAATTGTTTCATTGTTTGTACTAAATTTTCACTTTGAAAGCCTCAAATGTGAGAAGATCTAATGAAGATCTAAATTTACTAAAACTATTCAGTGTGAACTCATTAATTCAATATCTGTATTCATAGCTCTACACATTAATTCATATTCCAAAGGGATCTGTCAGAATACAGAACAATACTGTGAATATTTTGATGTATATTAATACACTGACATAAAACTATTTTATTTTGTTGGTAAGAGATGGGTCAACATGAGGCAAAGGTGAATATGACAGAAGTTTTGATGTATAGCTGCCCCCTTTCTATTGTTCTAAAACCAGTTGATTCTGCAATAACAATCAAAAATAACTAATACTAGCTGTCCAAGTAGCATTCAGGTGTTTATAATAAATGCCCCCTTAGGAACAGTGCCAGGAAATATGTGAAACCAGACAGAGTTTTCTCCAAAACTAAAAAATATCCACTCAGCATAGTTAAAATTAATAAATGACATGATCAAGACCTCTGGCTGAAAAGGTTATACAAAATGTATTAAATGTGGTTAATTCTGATATTGACAAATTAACTGTTTGGTTAAAGAATTCTTCTACGCTACATTTATAAAGTACAAACTAACATTTTCTATATTTGCTTCAATGAATCTCTATGGGTGTTCCAGGATAAATCTTAAAGACTTTGGGAAGAGTGGAAGAGTCTCAAAACAGCAGATGAATATATTGGAAGACCTCAAGTTGTAGTATATCCGTGTTTTTGTTTTTTGTTTTTTGTTTTTTGTTTTTTTTACATGTATTTTAAGCCTGTTTTCTTTAAAGGGCTGATCTCAAATGGTAATGTTCATTCCAACCATTTCAAGAAATGGATTTTAAAAAGCCAATCTTTAAGCACAGTATGAGAAATTATAGTTCTGAAATAACAGAACATAGTCAGGAAAATACCAAGACATTAGTCATGACTCTTACTGATTATTAAGTCTACGATCCAGTAAGCTAGATCATAACAAAAATTTGATCCAATAGTAAGACTTCAGAAATCTCAGCTTTATTTGGTTTCACCAGCTCACTGGAGGAGGAATCGTTCCTTGAGATCAATTGCCATCATTGGACCAAAAAATAGGAATACCTGTAGCACCTCAAGAAACGTGGTAGCTTTGCATTGCCATTAAAACAAAGATCTTTTTGGGAAAAATATGAAATCAAAGTTTGTAAGAAATAGTCACACTCACAATAGCAGACAATCTTATGTCTTCATAGCAAAGCTCAAGCCAACTAGTATCTTCTCTTACTGGATACCAAAACAAGCTGATGTGCAGGTGGGAGTAACTTGCTCAAGGAAGGTGGTCACAACAACACCTGGAAGAGATGACAGAGGCTAGAAAAGTGGAAAAAACAGAATGTTTTACTGACCATCTCTGATATTACATGTGCTCCTGAGAATGATTGTCCTAGATTTGAGTGTAGCTTTTAGACACTAGGATTATGAGTTTGTTTCTGACCTAAATCTGTTACATTTCCCACTGCTGTAGCACAAATATATCCTTTAATCAATTTTACTTTTGCTGCCGTTCATATTGGGTCTCCCCTGACTCCTGAATTATAAAATATAGCGAGTATAAAAACTTTCCTTCTTTTTACCACAGATACCACCAAAATATATGCAGCTCATCTTTCTTAGTTGTTTGTGATCTGAACATGCGCATCCATTGATTCACAACTAATGTTATAATAATTGAGGTATAATAATTTAAAGTGCCTAAGCCTTTCTTAATTTTTCTGAGCCACACTAAAATAACCTTAATTATCCTTATTCAGTTGTGCATCCAACGCTACCAGATCATTTTCCCTTTCCAAATACATTAACCATTTGATAGCCTTAATAAGATGACTGCATGCTTCAAACCATTCGTTTACACTTACTCGTTAAAATTTACTCACTAAAACATATCTTTAATGAGAGTTGAAGCATGTATGAATATTTTCTATGAATAATTTGAAGCCAAGATGTTTCCATGTCAAAACCATACCAAAAACCAATTGCTTTTAGTGTTCCTATGAAATATATGAGATACTTTACCCTTTTGGGATGTAACCCAAATGAAATTTTTTTGAGGACAAAAATAGTAAGTGACTTTAAATAAACCATTGTACAGCCATAAGCTAGCATATAAAGATATTGTTTTAATTTGATTTAAATGCTCTGGGAATCTGCTTTCAAATAAAGATTCAGATCTTCTGGTTTACACAATATAGTCTAACGTAAGACTAAGCAAACAGTATCGCTGCTAAGACAATTTTCCTGCCCTTTCATTGTGGGTTCTTTGGGTATCTTCAACTTTCAGTAGTTTAAATGAGCCATTTTGCTATTTCTCAGTAGCCAGAAGCTTGGAGAAGTCCCTTCTGTTTCATGCTTATCTGGTTGCTTTAACTCTAAGATCAACCATAACACTTTCTGACTCCAAAGAGCCTGGAAACGTATGTCAGTGTTTAGGGTGAATTTCAGAAATATTTTTAAAAAGTTTGCATACTATGGTTAATAGGTATTTCTGCAATTTCAGAAGAGTATGATTTTCAGGATAGCCTCTTTCTTCTCTGAGACAGCAGAGACAAAGTCATAGAGAGCTAAGTTTGATCAAGAAAAGAAGCTTAATTGAAAAGCACCTTTTGCAAAATAATATCTTCTTCCCACATTACAGATATTTTAAAAGACTTGCATAAGGCAAAAATGAAAAGTAGGGGGCAAGTGAAACATTATTTGGGGTGGGGGGAATTTATTTTTTTTAACCACACGTATCTCATAGATGTAAGTGAAATTACCTAGCCTTCCAGCAAAAAGAGAGAAAGTTTACAACATATACACATACACACACAAATCAAAGCTAGATAAAGGAAAATCCTTCCAAGAATATTATAGAGTAACTTGAGCACTTATGTTCCACGGATACAGCACTGTAAATCTTTAAATATATGTATACATACATATAATGGATATTTCAGGGCTGTCCTACCTACAGCCCTACTTACAGGAACAAACTTTTATACAGTTTTATATGTTCTCTGAACATCATAACGTATTGCACTTTTCACTGATGTTAGGACCAAATTCACATATAACATTGATTGATATATAAAATATTTTTATGGAAGAGCAGTAGCCAGTCTTTCCTGCTCATGAAAAAGGAGGGGAGAGAAGGCAAGCAAGATACAACAAATTACAAGAGATAAAGTACATCAATCAAGGCAGGCAGCAGTATGCTGATGACTGACAAATACAAGGTATGTATTCTACTACAATCTCAGCACCAGAAGACTCTAAAATATAAAGTGGAAAGTTGCTATCTAATGGAATATGACAAATTTAACACCAGAAAAACTTGAAAGTTGTAGAAATTATCAAGTAGGAAAGGAATAGTGAAACCACATATTACAGGAAACTCTGGTATCTAAGATGGCAGGTGCAAGAGGAGATGGGATTGGTATTTGCTGATAAAGTAGAAAAAATATATCAAATCCAGCATCAGCTGTCTTGCAGGAGTAACACACTGTTGTATCATTAGTTTTGTCACAGGCATCGTGTGGAATCAGAGCACCAGTCCGCAAGGCAGCAATATAGATATACACACTGAGAAATAGATGAGGATGGAGAATAGGGAGGAAATCATGGTTACAGGGAAGTCATGCAGCAGAAAGTCACTTTACAATTATATTTGAAGAATTTTTTTTCATCCCACTGCACCATTTTCACTCCCTTCTGAACAGCTAGGCTGAGCCCCTATACTCTTCCTTCAGAAAAATCCTCAAGAGAGCTCTGCTACAAATTAGATCTCACCCTTTAGAGTCAATATTATCTCTGTTTACAGAAAGATCATGTAATATCCCAAAGTCATTAATGTCAATTACTTACATCACACATCCTGAAATACAAAATCATGCTGGAAAGCTATGTCATCAGTGCACAGGAGTTTGTGCCTATGCCATTTCTGTCAGGGTAGTTAATACGTATACATGCACATCATTTCAGCCTTCATGCTATGCTTGTTCTTTGAGTTTCAAGAGTGTATGCTCAGTTTCACATTATAAATTGAAATGATAATTGGAGGCATTCCAAAATACATGCCTGACCAAGCTATCTCAGGGAAAAAGTCAGTGCTGATGAAGCAACAAAGATAATTAAGTCTTGTGAAGACCTCATGTACTAGAGTAGAGTTACTTCTGAATGTCCTAAAGCTCATCCATGCCTAGCACACATGTACAAATCATACTGTACAACACATATTCCCCTGACACAGCGTTGTGCTGTTACCATGTGTCCTCTCCTTGGCTCCCAGGGAACAGAGACCGGCACCTCCCTGCCCATTTCCCCTCATCAGGAAGCTGCAGAGAAGAATGAGGTTGCCTCTCAGCCTCCTTTTGTCCAGACTGGACAACCCAAATGTCCTCAACCTCTCATGGGATTTGTCCTCTAGCCCTTTTAACTGCTTTCTTGCCTTCCTCTGGAGGCTTTCAAGCATCTAAACAGCCATTTTATGTTGGGAAGGCCATAACTGTGTACAATATTCAACTAAATTCAAAATTTAGCATTGGTGAGACTGCACCAATGCTAAATTTAGGGGGAATGAAAATCAGATATTGTATTTTCCTTTGTTTTTCAGGCATTCACTTACTTATTAACTCATTGCAGGTAAACAAGAAACGATAAAATTGTGAGTTTTTTATTTGTTTTGGTTTTTATTTATTTATTTATTTATTTTTAATTGAAACTTCAAGCCTCATCTAATGAGACCAATTTTCTGCTTGTAATTACTAGTTGCTACTTGTCAGAGTGATGCCCCTTGTCTTGAGAGGAGGACTCCTGTGCTCCTCATGCATTGCAGCTTCTTCTTCCTCCATCTGTGGGAACATTCTGCTCATTTTGATGAATTTCAAAAGCTGGCATAAACAGCAATACCATTTACTGTCCTGGCAAAATTAGATTTCATGGTCCAGTTGTCAAAGGAATAACGGGAATCCATTTGTCACATGCAAAGATCTGTCAGTGTGGGAATTACCTGTGACTGTCACAGATGACAAGTGCTAATTAATGTTTTTTTCTGAAGGTGCAATCAGACTGATGGGACCCTCTACCTGTTGGCTTTACAAGAAAACCCTTTTCACTCCTGACAGGTTGCTTCCAGTCTTCAGCTTCTCTTTGGTCTGTAGGAGTCCTACACTTCCAGCCCCTATGGCTTCAGAGAGAAATTAAAAAACAACGAAGCAATTCAATGCACCTTTATAAATCACATTGGCAGCAAAATAGAAATGAAATGAGACATACAACAGGATGTGCAAGAGTTCAAAGGACAAAGCACAATGCAATTACATTTTAAAGCATTTGCTGAACATCCCACATTAAAGCACAGACAAAATGCCTTTGCAGCCCCAGCATCTCCCAATCAAGCCCAGGGAGATGACTGATAGATGAAACCAACATATTCCTCACGTTTCCATGGCAGCTTTCCCATCAGCCCGATGATCAATGCAGGGAGTCCAATTTCCCGACGTTGTTAATCTTGTCAGAAGTGTTAGCATCCCTCAGGTTTGGCAGCACATTGCCCGCTCCAGCTTTTCAATGACACCTCAGCTATACCGACACGTCCTGCTGAGGACACAGCCCTGTGTGGGTTATGCAGCCCTGTGGTACGAAGCTGTCACTCTTACACACACACTTGTCTGACAGACGTGCCTCTCATTTTGGGAAGGACTTGTGAGCAATTACCACATTAGGAGTGTGCAGCTGGGTGTGTGCAGCTGGCTCACACACATATCGGTCCTAGAATATCCCAGGCTGTCACTCGGGGAACAGGCCTAATTCCTGGGCAGGGCTCAACTGACCTGAAACGGAGCCTGGAGGAGCAGAGTCCATACAGCTGCTACGGGATCCTCTTGGAGCACCAAGGAGCTGCAGAATGGACAGAGAGCAAAGAGCTGCTGTAACCAATGGTACTAAATGTAAAAGGGAAAGCTTTGGTCACAAAATCAGCTACAATATTCCTGGGAGTTTCCTAAATGCTAAATTTTCACCTATCTTTAATAAAGCCTTTAAAGTGCCTGTGTGACTAAGGGCTTTATTTTCAAAGCTACTGAGGTGTGAGATTAGTTGTGAGATTTCCAGAAGAGTTTTGGCATCTTTCAAATGTGAGGTTCAGCTTCTGTTGTAATAAAAGTCTCAAGCTTCTGACATGGCTTCATGTGAGCTCACTACTCACTCATCCAATAGATATTTATGCCATGCATCTGTTGGCTAAAATAAATGATTGTGAACTATATCCATCACCGTTAGGGTCAGCTCAAAACCTTTTTTCCTTTACAACCAGAGACCAAGATGCACAGGCTCATTTCTACTACCAGAGGCATAAGATACCTGGGCATGTTCAAATGAACTTCCAGTAAAGTTAAGTTCAAGTGTAGTTCACTGTGTAACTCAAAAACGCTTTTTCCCAAAAAAAAAATCCTTTAAAAGCACTATTTATCAAAGCCTTCTTTACATGATTATTCTCTTTAATTTTATTTGTACTACCCAATTTATCAAAATCTGTATGTGATTGGATTTATATTTGTGGGAAAAGGCATATAGAAATCATTAAAGAGAGATATCCAATTAATCTAGTACTAGATGTAGCTGTTTTAAAGTAAGAGCTTTGTAAGTAGCCAATAATTAAAATAGGAGTGCATTTATTTGCATATCATATTTATCTATAAAAATACCATATATAAGTGGATTTTCATGGTAGCTGAGTCACAAAAGATTCTCAGCAACTTTATAGTTGCATTCAGATAAAAAATCTAACCATGATTCTTTAAGTGAATATTTGATAGCAAGTTACAAAAATTGAGATAAATACAAAGTATGGGAAAATGTGTTGGGACAGATCCTTAGCAAATCTGAAGCAACATAGCTTGATTGAATTTTGGAGCTGTGCTTTACACAAGCTAAGTATGTTATCTATTAAACACAAGATTAAATCAGAGGAGTAAATAACAGTGCAAAAAATTTCTATCAACTGGAGTGTGGAGGCTGTCATTTGTAACCTCTTTGTAAGTTTGACCAAAGAATGAGGGACTTCCAGGAACAGAAGCAGCTAGGGCACACACATGTAAAGAGTATCACTGCAAACAGTGTTAGAAACCTAAAGGTCAACACATAAACATGCAGAAAATAAAGGTGTGCATGGTTTGAAAAGGGTATGTGGAGGAGCTTGGTATCTCAGAGCACATTTCTTGGGGTTTTCAATCTGGATGAAAAGATTCCTTCAGCCACCAGAGCTACCACATCACCTTCTGTAGCTTTTCTGGAAATGCTAATTAAGAACAGATTTTGTTCAGACAGTACACTTGCAGGCTGTACTACAATAAAAACTGATAGCTAACTCAAAAATTTGTAACAATGTCAGTAATGCTATCTAATGGGAGTTTGGAGTTCAAAATGTATGTTTTGCCTTGTGAAAGTTTCTCCAGATATATTTCTCTGGATATTTCATAGGTTCTAAATTCTGAGTTTCACAATGTCAAATGCATGGTTTAACCCCTCCTCAACACTGCCTCCTCACCACTTCCAGCTGAGCAAAAGAGAGGGGCCTAAGGTCTTTCCTGGTTCAATACTAGCTTTGATTGCCTTCTGTAAGCAGCTACAGCTGAGAATTAAAAAGAACAAACCAAAAAACAAACAAAAAAAGAACTGAGAATGGACATAGAATACAAAATTAAGGAAAAAAGTACTGTTAATAATTGACTTTTTGAGAAAAAAAAAAAAATAACCAGGAAAGTTTTCAGCTTTAAAAGAAGGGAAACTTTTTGAATGAAATTTCAGGAAAACTTTGATAGATTTATGCTTAAAATTTGACAAGATAACAGTCATTGGCATACGTCATGGCATGAATGCCTACTGTGGGCTGACTCAGTGTCTTGGCCATCACACTCCCTTACTTGCTAAACAAACACATCTGCAGTCTCTGTATGACCACAGTTACTGTGGCAGATAATTCAAAGACACATAATTCAGATGAAAAATTAGAGAGAAACCTCATGGCTCGTGACCACAAGTCAGACTTCACAAGTTACTGCTTGCAGCAGACAATACAATATGCATGAGCAAACTCAGCAGAGGAATCTTAAGCCCACTCAGGACATGCAGTAACGAAGATAACAAGATGCTCTTCCTGTTAACAAGATGCCATTAAATAAAAAGATTTGTCATGGTAATAAAAAATATAAGCAAGAATAGACACGGCCTCAAAATTGTACACAAAATGAGCAATTCTTCTCAAGCAAAACAAGATAAAGGCAAGCTTGTAAGTGAAGATACATATAACAGCAAGCCTAAATAGAAAAGACAATAACAAAACAAAAGAGAAAGAAAACAAGGAGATTAGCTTAGGAAAACAACAGACAGGAAAATCAAACCATATATAACAACTCTCCTGGGGAAAAGAGTATGAAGTTGAAACAAAAGGAAGTGTCTTACCAAACACAAACAAAAGAAGATGAATGGATGGGGGAAAAAAAATAAAAATAAAAAGAAATAAAATGACTCCAAATGTGGAAATATTAGCTAGTTGCAAATATCTACCCAGTCAAAGTAATTCTAGGAGACACTTAAAATGAAAACATTATTGTGCAAGGATACGTACAAGAACAAAATGTCCCTCTCTTGCAAAAGTAGTCAGCCAGTTCTAGTGTCCTTTACCAAACTTTTCTAAGGGGCTTGAATGTACAGCTTTATTTTTCAGACACTATTATTTGCTCATGCTTCCCATCAATATCATTATCTACAATGCTTTTGTATTTTCCCCTGCAATGGCAATTTGTGAGTCAGCCAACGCAGCAGCCCAGAGATAATTGACAGGCGTCACTCAGAAATAGTAAAGCAGACTACAGAGATGAGTGTGCGGGCAAGCGGACATTATGTTCTACCCTTCCTAACAATATTAGAAGCAAATCTACTTAATATTAAAGAACAGGTCACTTCTTTTTGTCTGAAAGATTTAAGAAAGTTGGTTTCCCAATGTGAAAGTTTAAGAGCCTAAATCTAACATCTGTTGAAATCAATGGGTAAAAAAATAAAGTGGTATTTTTGCGTTGATTTCAGAGAGTTGTGAATCAGTTTCCAATACATTAATCACAAAGCACAAATAGAAATGAGACTCCTTTTTTGTATTACAATTGTTTTTTTTATGAGTAGTTGTACAAAAGCCAAACAACAGGCTTAGCAGCAACATAAAGTTAACCTTCCAGAAAAATACCTTTCTCCTTTTTCCTAACCAGATACATGCAAAAAGATAGCTCATAAAGTATTAAAGCTGACCAGAAAATTATACTTTAAGCCAATCTTTGTCGTTTGAGCAAAAATTGGTTTTATTCAGCACTATATCAGAATATATCTGGAAGATATATCTGAATAGAATAATGTATATCTATATCTGGAAGAATATTGTATCCACATATCTAGTTTTAAAGAAAAAAAAAACTCAGCAGTTCAGCAAAGTGCATTTGTTATGATGGTTCAATAGGAACAAGACAGAGAAAAGGAAGTTCACTCTTTAGCAGAAAGGATTGAACTTATTTTGTTGGGTGACTGCTGGACACCCTCCCTTGGCCGGAGCCATGGTGGGAAGCAGTTGCTGCAGACTGGCAAAGAATCAGCCCTTTGCACCTTTCTGAAGATGGCCAGGCTAGCTGTGCTTCCTGCATCCCATTCGCATGCAGATATTTGGAATATAAATGTATTTTCTGAACACTGTCTAGAAAGACAAGAAATTGAAGTATCCAAAAATTTCAAGCACTTACCTGAATTGAAGTTACAAAACCAACAAAAGTGGTAGAATTATAATAGCAGATAATAACCTTTCCTGACCCTCTCTATAGATCTCCACAGTAGGCATATAGTTTCTTCAATGCTTTCTCAAACAGAAAAAGAAAAGGAAAAAAAAAAAAAAAGGTGCTGTTTATCCTTCCAGAACAACATGAAGCACATCTTCATAATGATTTTTCCAAAGTATCTTAAAGACAGCTTTCTGGTATTTATTTTCTATGCATTTCTATCAGGCCACAAAACATTTTTGATTGCTGAAGGCAAGGCGCATTGTAATAAAATAGAGACTCCCCTCTCTGTACACATCAGGAGAGGATGTGCCTGTGCCACACCTGGAAGGGATGCTCTGAGCTGCTGAGGCCAACCTCAACTGCTGTCTGCAGACAAACTATTTCTTTCCAGGGCAATATGGAAACAAACTTTCCTTAGAAGTATTTTTGGTGCCAAATTCCTTTTATAAGCCAAGAATTTTCACTTCTTTGAGGATGCCTGTTCTAAATAGCTGGGCAGTCCCAGAGAGGTTTAAAGGCTTTAATTTGAGCTCACAGCCTCCCCAGGAGCAGGAGGACAGAGGTCTCCCAGCCTCTCTTTGAGGCTCTGACATCTGCTCCACGGCTCGAGGCCCTTCAGGTCCTCTCTAATGGCTTTCCAGATGGCCAATGAACCATCTCCCCCCCAACAGATGCAAGCGAGAAATGGGGCTCTTTAATTTTCTTCAGCTGCCTATTTAGGCATTGAACAATAGCGGAAGTATTTTACGTTTACAAAAATATAACAAGGAGTCTCACATAAATCCTATATTTAAGTACCTTCTGTCCCATGTAAGATAAATATACCAAAAATATTCTTCTGTGGAGCAGGCAAGTGAAATCAAGTTGTTCTCAGATTTGAAGAAAAAGCCTTGGAACTAGAACTATGTGAATAACTTATTGTTTTGGTTCATTGCTTGATGCAAATTTTATCAGGCATTTTTGGTGAGCATCCCCACCTGTCCAGTTTTGCCTTCTTCTGCAACCAAATCTGCTCATCTTATCAGCATCAGTGCAAACAAAAGCACAGCATTGCTTCAAATTATTACAAAAGGATATATG